AGGTTAAGCGGTTCGCGCGCGAGACCGGAAAGCCCTGGCGAGTTGAATCTCACGAGCAAGACCGTGAATGCGCACTGCTGAGGAGTCCCACATAGGTCGAAACGCCGTCCAGTGCTTCCGGGTTTCCGAAGGTGGTCTAACATCAGTCGGTTCCATGACTCAATCAAATACTTTAATAATCTCCATAAGTCCTGTACTAATAATTTCACTAATGTTAATAAATTCTGTACACCTATCATTCTATGCCTAAAGATGATATCTACAATTTAATAATGTACATTAAGATCTATTAAACTATAATGATTTGAAAAGATTGTTAGTCAAGAATTATTAGTTAATTGTTGCACAATTAGATGAACAGATACTTTGATCATTATTGACAAAGTGATAAAACCAAAGTAAGAGATTATGATTGTATTCAATTTATTTTGTTCAACATAGTACATTTAAATCCTCTATTCAATCCTGTATTTAAGTAATAATACTACAAGTTAAAGACAGTTGTCTATCACGTTCATACATGAGACCGAAGGTCTTCGGTTCGAGTCTCGCATATGGGATCATATATGTGCACTATTGTAGAGTCCTATGCTAAGACGAAATGACTGTTCAATGTTTCTAGGTTTTCAGTGGTGGTCTAACTTAGATCGATTCATTAATTCAATTAGTAAAATGACTGCAATCTTCATAAACCCACATTCCTGATAAAAATTAAAATTAATTTATAAATAGCGGTAAATAATCGTTAAATTACGTACATGTGTATGCATACCTTAATAGAGACATTTGTAAACGAATGAACAACTACGTACATATGTGTAATTTAAAGGAAAGAAAACATTCAGACGTATTATGACATAATAGCGTATACTCTAGAAAGTCATAGAATTTCTTTTACAAAAATGAATTTGGTTGTACGTATATCCAGCTAAGTATCAAAAAGAATGAAATGAACGTCATAGATTCTATTGATAGCCGTATTCTATCTTTAAAAACATATGGCAGAATATGTATATTAGGGTAATCATCTCAGGTTACATTGAGGAGTCCCACAGTAGGATGAAATGCTCGTCTAGTACTTCCACAAAACCCTTTTTGATATAAATCAATTCAACTATTAAAGAATCAGTATTGATCAGTATAGGATTGTGGAGGTTATTATGATTCTCAGAGTTCTGGTGAGAAGCCATGACTCAATCAAAAACTTAATAATCTTCACAACCCTAAACTGATAATTACCATGTACTCACTAATGACCAGCTTTGTGAGAGAATTCTCGGAGTACTAGTGAGAAGCCATGATCAATGGAGCTAAATTCATGTCGGGTCAATCAGTATTGATTATTAATGTTCCAATGAAATGAATTGCCTAATCCTACGTTATAGCTGACCTGACTAATGAAATGGTAAATAAAAGATCACACCTTGTACTATTAACCGTTTGTTGTGTTGTTTACAAAAACGTATTTCTGGACTTTAAATAATCTTGTTGTTTTATCTTTTAATTAAAATAGGGCGCTCTAATTCATTTGAAACCGATCAAACAAACACATGATATCTAATAAATGATTGATGATTACTATAGTGTTTTAATTGAGTACTTTTAATTTATTCATTATAATTTCTTTTTAATTGATGATTTGAATTATGCAAAATTCACTTTATGTTAATGTCAGTCAGTCAGTCAGTCAGCTACAACGTAGGACCAGGCACATTATGCATCGGTCCAGGTTGCCATACTGCATTAGCACAGCAAGATGAACACCGGATTCAATAGGAGTGTTAGGTCAAAGGTAGGTAAATATAAAAAGACAGGATTGCATACAGGAAACAGTACAGGAAGAAAGAATTAGTTAGTAGAAAGAAAGATATGAAGTGATTTTAATCTCTTAGCTTAAGGGAAGACAGGGAGTGTATACACCGACGCCATTGTGATCGATTATGAGCCATGTCACCAAGAGTCTCCAACCATCGGTTACGAAAGTCACGCGGACCCCAACCAAGTAGTCTGCATCTACCAACATGGCTCAGACTAGAGGTTAGTGACTTCAAGCACTGATGCCACGTTTTGGTAATGTACTATTCTGTAAATTATACAGTTCAAGATATAAGGTGCATAGTGATTGAAGGGAGCGGGGTTTAAAAAGTACTTTCCATATTAACAATAATCATGAAAGATAGATGATAGTTATCAATGGAATTTAGGATGAATATTTCGTTCTATTTGAGATTCATCAGTTGGATGTACCTATATCCCAGAGTTGGTGTTTTAATTCATTTTTTTATATTGTTTGTTTGAATCTTTTCATTGATGAATTTAATTAATTTAAACTTCACTCCATTATATAAACTAGTGAATGTTATGAACTTAGTAGCTAAGTGGATAAAGTGATCATGTATTGAAGTGAATAGTACTAGGTTCGAGTTCCAGAGTGACTGATCAGTTTGCTATTCTAAACATCAATAAGAAGATTCAAAACAAACAGTACAATATGTATATAATTAAATGTTAGTAATTCGTTTGTAAGACCGATTCCTGAAGTTCTCTCTATTGCATTGATATTTCCAATTACTTTCGTAATTGGAAGAATAACTTATCGTTACTTTGATTGGGTTTAGTTTTCTCCTGTAAATTAACAATTAGTTAACTGGAAGTAATGAATTGTAAATATGATGTTTATTATCTCAACCTCTGTACTTGAACTGATCCGCTTCACAGCTCACTAAACAAGGTACATCTTAAAGATAATGAACCAGTATGGAAGTTTCTTGTGTGTGTTTTTTTCGTATCAACTCCTAAAATATGTACTAAAAAGTGCAAAAGTACGCTTAATCTACGTGGCTGAAGCTAACAGAATCAACTCGAAAAACTCAACACACACATGGATCTTTGTTTTATAAGGACTTCTTTATCATAAAATTATGGATGCATGAGAATATTCAATAATACTACATCTGATCTTAGTACATGATAAGAAGCTATCTGTAAGTTTTTAGTGGCCCTCGTGTATCTGACTGCAGTAAGATCGTATCATCGAAAACAGCATCGCGTTCGCACGTCAGTCTAACCACTTTAGTAGTGGTATGATGACATTATCGATGAGGTTATCGAATGAATAAGTTATGTTGAGTTCGTTCGTCAAGAGTTTGCAGTGCAGAAGGTTCTTCATTGACGTAGTTTGCTGCGTTAGGTTCATTGTCGTGCTCATCACTTTCAGTGTAAGCCGGCTGATCTGACTCCCTTTTGAATTAACTGTGGATATGTAATGTATATATAAATCTTCCGTTGAACTCCGTATATGTCCTAGGATAATCCCGTTTGTATGACGGCAGTTATAAGAAGCCAAATATGGGTGACGTTGGAGGAATTATTTCAAGCATTCGTTTATTCAGACAGAGATTCGGAATGAGAAGCAGGAAACCAAAGTGAGTCAACTCAATTTAATCATGTTTGACTCGTAGATAAAAACAATCAGGGTTAAGAAGCGAATAAGTGACAAGGTAAGAATATGGCTTATGAAGAATAGTACCAGCTCCCTACAAGTACTATTCTATGAATCTGAAATGACTGTATTCTTTCTGATGAGAATCAGTGTTTTGACAGCATGAAATCAAGCTATTTTTTTCCAATCTATTCAAAATTATAAATTGAAAAGCAAGAATCTCCAACACAACACAGCATCCACTAGTCAACTCACACTTGACAGAGGAGCTCTGAAAGATGTTAAAACATTTACTTATCTGAGCAGCATCATTGATGAACACGGTGCATCTGATTCACATGTGAAGGTGTGGATCAGCAAAGCAAGAGCAGCATGTCTACAGTTGAAGAACATCTGCAACTCAAAACAACTGTCCTCAAGCAAACACCAAATTCAGAATTTTCAATACAAATATCAAGAAAGTTCTATTGTATGGGACGGAATCTTGGAGAACTACGAAATCCATCATCCACAAGATACAAGTCTTTATTAATAATTGTGTACACAAAACACTTCGCATGCATTGGCCAAACAACAACAATCCACTGTGGAATAGAACAAACCAAATTCCAGAGGAGAAAGAAATCAGGAGTAAGCGTTGGAAGTAGATAGGATACACATTGAGGAAATTACCCAACTGTGTCACAAGGTAGGCCCTCACTTGGAACTCACAAGGCAAAATGAGAAGAGGACGACCAAAGAACACATTACACCGAGAAATGAAGCCAGACATTAGATGAATGCACAACAATTGTATAGAACTAGAAATAAAGACCCACAACACTGTGAGTTGGAGAATGCTGATCGTCGGCCTATACTCCACACTAGGAGTAACAGGCGTTAGCAAGTAAGACAGTAAGTAAGTAAGTAAGTATTCAAAATGATTGACTTTTAACAGTTTCAACTAAACAAAATATAATAAAACTTCAATTCATTATTGAATAAAAACAAAGTTAATACAAAATAAAAAAGGAAAACTGAATTCATCAATTTTTTTTAATTAAAATTTTTTTTTGTTTCTTACTTAATTTTTAGTATCGTTAGGCAAAAAAAAACAAAAAAAAATTAAGAAAAATACAAAAAAAACTTGACTACCATATTTAAATACAGACTTCTTCACTATGCCAATACACTTCTATTACCCTGATTTCTTATTACTCTGTTCACTAGATACATTTTATTACATTAATAATAATAATTTCCATTTGTGAGATTTTTTATCTTTTATACCCATTGACATGCACACACACACACACACACATACACAACTCATTCATCATAGATGTATAGAAAGAAAACTGGATACTAATTTTGTTTGTAAACATTGGGACTCTATTACAAATGATGTATATAAGCAACAACAAAAATCGATAGAGATTTCCTATTATGTATACAAGGGATACATCTATAGTCATTTCTTTTTTCTTCTTCTTTATTTATAAGAACATATTGAGTATTACTTATATAAATAAAGTAGTGTTTTTTTTAAAGTTTTAACTGATTTTAACTAAAAATTTATTCATTTCTTCATACTACTACTACTACTACTACTACTACTACTACTACTACTACTACTACTACTACTACTACTACTACTACTACTACTACTACTACTACTACTACTACTACTACTACTACTACTACTACTACTACTACTACTACTACTACTACTACTACTACTACTACTACTACTACTACTACTACTACTACTACTACTACTACTACTACTACTACTACTACTACTACTACTACTACTACTACTACTACTACTACTACTACTACTACTACTACTACTACTACTACTACTACTACTACTACTACTACTACTACTACTACTACTACTACTACTACTACTACTACTACTACTACTACTACTACTACTACTACTACTACTACTACTACTACTACTACTACTACTACTACTACTACTACTACTACTACTACTACTACTACTACTACTACTACTACTACTACTACTACTACTACTACTACTACTACTACTACTACTACTACTACTACTACTACTACTACTACTACTACTACTACTACTACTACTACTACTACTACTACTACTACTACTACTACTACTACTACTACTACTACTACTACTACTACTACTACTACTACTACTACTACTACTACTACTACTACTACTACTACTACTACTACTACTACTACTACTACTACTACTACTACTACTACTACTACTACTACTACTACTACTACTACTACTACTACTACTACTACTACTACTACTACTACTACTACTACTACTACTACTACTACTACTACTACTACTACTACTACTACTACTACTACTACTACTACTACTACTACTACTACTACTACTACTACTACTACTACTACTACTACTACTACTACTACTACTACTACTACTACTACTACTACTACTACTACTACTACTACTACTACTACTACTACTACTACTACTACTACTACTACTACTACCAACACTACTATTTGGTTTTAATAAGATAGTTATCATTGAATACACATTCAATGATATTTAGGTTTACTTTTAAAAAATTTAATTATGTTATGATTTGTATAAAACACAAATAAATGATAAAGATATAGATTGCAATTAATTCTAAACATTGAACACTGAATGCATTTAAACAAACAAACAAATGAAAAACAGCCTATGTTTTATTACAGAGAAGTTTTGTGGAGATTGTAGTAATTTAATAGTTGAATTCCCGCCTTGCTTCTCTCTCTTGATTCCGGTTAATTATAGTCTTTTCAACCTCACTAAGAGTTTGAGAACTTTCACTAGTATATCATTCAGCTTACTTGGAAATACTGGTTAACTGGAGTATGGCTATAGGCCTGTTGAACTGTTCTCTACAGCTTTCGGTTCACCATTTCCACTAGAAACTGTTATACAAATAACATTTATGGCTTACACTTCCATATGAATCACTTAACCTTATTGTACAAATATGATAGTTTTTTTAGGAATGAATGTTAAAACTTGAGACTTGTAAATACTGAATTCTAATGATTATTATTATTTTTAGTGTTTTGTGATTATATTGAATAGTCTAAATTAGCATTTATCCTGATATTTCTGTTCTTAGCATTTAGGTATATTCCTAATATTCTAAATTTAATCCCTATTTAGTGATACGAACTTGTGTCTCTAGTGAAGCAGTCGTCAATTCTCGTACTATATAGAAAACTTATTGAAGTTGCAAATGTGTAACAATAGATGTTAGATAAAAAGATCTAAGCTTCATGTAATCACTATCAGACTTAAATTTTCCTGGTATGATTTTCATAGAGATTGTGAATAGACATTGTTCTTATGAAGGTCAAATAACTATTCAATACTCTTCAGTTCTAAATCTTTCTTACTTTGACTATAATTTATGATGAAGAACAATTACATTTTGTAGATCTCCTTTAGATGTATAAGTAGTGTATAGAATAAATATGAAATAAAAAATCGATCTTTAATTGATAAATTGTGCTTTCAAAAATTGATTATTTTGGATCTAATTAAATGAACCAAGTCAAAAGATTTCGTTATGCTACGTATCAGTGTATGCGGAGTCGTCAGTAAATCAGTGTCAATGTAAATGTCACGTAAAAAACAGTAACCTTCTACCGAAAACTCACTACACATATGAACTAAATAATAACAGCTATATACTGTGCGGCATAAATTTTCACAAGTGCACTAGGATATATTTCTACATGCAGTTTAAATTCAAAGAAATCAGAGTTGACCGAATTGACTCTAACAAATCCCATCAAGTGACAAATGTTACAAGTCACTTTTTACAAAACATATTTTAATAGATGAATTCATGAGTCAATTGAAGCTAGATCATCATGAAAAACCTGGAATCAATGAACGGCTAAGTTGTCTCAGTATGAAGAATCCTTAGCAGTGCGTATCCACGATCTTGCCTTGCGAGATTCCAACCCAGGACCTATCAGTATCGCACTCCAACATTTAACCACTAGACCACTGAGCCAGCCGGCCGGTATCCAACAGTGTTAATGCCTAACTTCAACTAATCCATAAATTGAGTGACACATCCACCATTATCTTCAGTGAGTTACTATCCCACAACAGACCCGGTTGAACTCCATTGGTCACTACTCCACATTAGAACTCCAGTATATATGTTAATTAGTATCAGAAGACAATTACTAAAAATGACGAATCTTTTTTTTTAAAAAAAGAGCACACTCGATTTTTTTTAGTTTTAACAAACGATGTATAAAATTTATTCATCAAAATAAAACATAATTGATTGTAGGTGTGGTCAAATTACAAGTGTTTACACCTTCTATTAAAGATAACTATTGAATTACATTTCATATTAATTAAGTCATTCAAATTTATAATTGAATTGAACTACCCGGTTATTCTCTTTCTTTTTAAGTCCAGTTGATTCATTTAAACAAAATATTCATCATGTAACTTTGATAACTCATATAGAAAGATAAGGTCATTTTATTATTTACATATATCACCATAGTAATAGAAAGTTATCATCAACTATATAGATATAATTATAAAGGGTTGATTCAATGACTTGTTGATTATAAACAATTAAAAATGAAGAATGAATATATTCGGTAAAAACAGACAAAGAGTGTTCAAAAATGAATGACTTCTAATTAATGTTGGATATTGAACATAAGTGAGTATCAAAAAATAATACAAAACTACTTAGTTACGTAAAAGTATACTAATATGTACGGGTTTAAATGAGTTGATCAGATACGGAATGGTGTCTGATATATTTTTGGCACGAAATTAAATGTTTAGTATTAGATAGCTTGTATGAACCAGTTAACGAAGTCGGAGTGGCATTGGGCTATAACTACACAATCCTCAAAGCTGAACACAGGATTATTGGGAAAATAGATATTCAACATTGAACGCGGAGAAAAACCCAACAATGGAGGAGGCGAGAACAAGGGATTGAATTAGTTCGAATTGGTAAAATGGCATGGCTCGGCCTTGCAGGCGTGATCTTACTTATGTAATATAGTCTTTTATTCATATTAAATATATTGTTCTATCTCCAGTCTAAATGTGTTCTTCATCATGTATTGATGATTGTTGGAATACGATTAGTCAGGTAGACAATGACATGACTTCCATAACAAATCTACAATTTTAGGATTAGGTCTATTATTAGAGCAGTACTAATATCATGGTACACCATAATTCTACAAAGTAACTATTGGCAATATATAGTGCCCGAAAAGGCTTGATAGTAATACTAATATCTACTATCCAACGAAACAGTGAATATGATATGGTGCTTAGGCCATAAGTCATAAGAAATACCTGTCCCTGATGTAAATTTTGTATTGAGGTATTTGATATGATTTAGTGAATTGTCAATAATGTTTTTGTAACTGTGTGTTATTCTTCCACTTTAAATTCTGACTCTAAATTACAACCCTAAACCTTTGAGTTTTATAGATAAAAGGTTGATAAATCATCGTTGTATTATAGCTGATTTCAATTGGTGACGAAAACTCTTATAGGATTAGAATCCGAACTCACAACGCTGGCCAAAGTCCTATCATGTAAATTTAACCTCTTTTCTTTAATTCGACAGGTTAGAAATTATTTATCGTTATTAAACCATGATTTCACAATAATTTCATTGCTTCTTATAGTTGTTTTATAACTAGAAAGTGTTTCAGATTGGTTGATGGGTTGCTCTAAATCATCGGTACAGTATACTTTTACGATTATATAATGCCCCTTGAATTTATAATAACTCGTGAAGAAATCTCATTACATTAGTGATTCCATTCTAATGTACTATCTTTTTAAGCAAAGATGTATAGTGGCTAGCAGTGGAATCCAGGACACACGTTTCGACCTATTTGGGACTCGTCAGTTGGATGTACGCGCATCCCAAAGTTGATGTTCACCCCGGGAATCAAACACAGTACTGTCGGCTTTGAATACCATCGCGTTATCCATTTGACGGTATTGGGTTCGAGTCCCAGAGTGAACATCAACTCTGTGATGCATGTACATCCAGCTGACGAGTCCCAAATACGACGAAACGTACGTCCTGGATTCCATTGCTAGCTACTAGCCATCTTTGCTTAAGAAGCTTGTGACTTAAGGCTTAAGGATGCACATATACCAATGAAGAGACTGATCATTCGCAGTTTTAAATAACAATGGAAAGATACAAGTAAAACAATACCAAGTGAATATAATGTATTATCTGCTTTTTTTGCTGTATAATAACTTGGAAATTTCTTATTTTTATCGAGATTTGAAGACCAGTTCAAATAACTGCTAGCTTATAGTCTTATGATAGGCAATCTAATATTAAGCATATTAATTACAGAATAATAAATGGGTAATAATTCCATTGAATAATTGTTAAGTCAGGCTAAAAATGTGAGTTCACGTTTTTTCAACTAGTTTGAGTGTAATTTTACTCCTAGTGTGACATTATTTGCTTCGATATCCATCCTGAAACTACAATAACTTATTACATCATTCCTAAAATTATTATTGTTATCACTAGGTAACAGGTTTGAGGAGTGTAAGAAAGGTAAAGGACGAAACATTGCTCATTAATGCTATGGCGGGTGTGAGTGATATATACATATAAGTCACAGTTATTTTCATATAACTATCAATTAAGTATGAATTTCATTCAGTATGATAGGTGTGTGCTTTCCTCAACTATGACATGGTGTATTTATTTATTCAGTGTAAACATAGTAACTGTGTGATGTTATACAATAACACTGTTAGATACCGTGATCTAGGGGTTAAGCGTTCACTCGTGAGACTGAAGATTCTAAGTTCGAATCTCGCGTCCAGGATTGTGGATCCGCACTAATGAGGAATCTCATACTAGAACGAAACGATTATCCAGTGTTTCTAGGTTTTCAATGGTGATATAGCTTAGATTCATATTTAAATTAAACTGTTAAAATATTACAATCTCCACAAATTCCCATAATGATAGAATCTGATGTCTACTAACTAGTCGTCAAGTGTAAGTAAAATTAGTGTATAACTGATTGTATTTTAGTTTAATGACGATGTTTTTGGGGACGTCGATAAGTATTTATCTACATCAGTCTTCCATGTTCTTATTTTGTGTCTTGGAACTGAATCGGTTTCCAGTGTCAATTATAAGCAGTATGGAAACCGCAGTATACTACACTGGGAGCAGCAGCTCGTCCTGATATGTCCGCAACTTCTCTTTTTCGTCGTCATTGCCATCGTCGCTAGCGTCGTTGGCAATGTCGACGAAAAAGAGAAGTTGCGGACATATCTGGACCAGCTGCTGCTCCCTGTGTAGTATACTGCGGTTTCCACACCGGTCTGTCTTAGTCATTGATCACTCTGAGTAAAACCGATTCTGAGTGTCCCAGAGCAGGGCGCACGCAAAATAAGAACATGGCACGGAGCTGCTTGATGATAGATATCACAGTTACGCTGTAATTATCGGTTACCGTTCTCCCTGAGGG